GGGGGAGAAGGCAGGACCTGAGGGGGCTGTGGGGCTGGAGGAGGCGAGGGAAGGAGGGCCTGAGGGGGGTTGTAGGGCCTGGGAGGGGAGGCAGGGCCTAAGGGGGACTGTGGGGGGAGAAGGCAGGACCTGAGGGGGCTGTGGGGCTGGAGGAGGTGAGGGAAGGGGCTCATCTAGGTGCTAATGGGGGACACTGGCAAGGTGTGGGGCAGAGGGGGCACTTGGTGGGCGGAGGAGACCCCGATGAAGGGAATGGGGCGTCGATGGGGCTCTGGTGGGATGTGGTGTTGCCACAATAAACCAGGGTCGTGTCCCAGGGGAGGAGGGCTGGAGTAGGGACCCTCCTGGGGGTACTTGGGGCCTGTCCCAGCTCCTCCGGGGCTCAGTGGGTCAGGGATGGGGTGCTCCTTTGTAAGGGTGCTGTGTTGTTGCTCAGCATCGGTGTTGAGATGAGAGGGTTTTGTCCCTGGGGGCTGAACGCAGCCAGGGCTGGAAGCAGAGGTGAACTTTGGTGTGTTGTTGTTATCACAACAGGGAGAGTCCTGTTATTTTTGGGTTTTGGTGATTAAGGAGGCCGTGATAGAAAAAAAACCAACAGTGAAATCTGCCTGGGTTCTGTTGTTTCCTCGGCTCTCTGTAAAGTCCTGTAGCTCTTTGGATAAATATATTACTGTGGCCTGAGTGTGTATCGAGCTCCTTGATGTTTTCTCTGGGTAGCTCTTTGCTTACTCATGTTTATGGGCATTAAAACGTGTCGCTGCTCCTTGTGTTGCCCTGGAGAGCGGGAGGAATTCACTCTTATTCCCTCAGTAGTGAGCTGCAGTTGGGAAAGCCTCAGCCAGGTTGTTTGGTTTCTTTGTGCCTGAGTTTGGCCACTGCCTCCCCCTTGCTCCCCAAATTATGACGGGGTGTTTGGTGTGGGCTCAAGGAGAGGTAGCCTGGTACAGTCACAGGTAACTTTCTTTTCAGAAGAAACCTTTCCCTTGCTGTTAAAACTCAGAAATTCTGAGATTATCCCTAGGGAAGTCTTAATTTGGGACCAAAACAAACTCTCAAGCTCTTCTTTAACTCCTCCTCCTTCCTGGGGTCCCTTTCCTGAAGGCTGGTGTGAGAGAAGGGCTCTTTCTGCCTGCTCTGTGCTATATTTAGTCGTCGCTGGAGTGGAGGGCAGGGGTTTAATTACAGCGACGATGTGGCTGCTGCCGTGAGACGCTGCGGGGCACTGTTGCCCGTGAGGTTTGTGGAGGCCCCAACACCCACCGTGGGTGCAGGGGGTTAAAGCTGGGCTGTGGGGGCTCAGCTCCACACCGTGTTTGGAAAGTGCCCCCCGTCCCTGCCCTGAAAACCCCACGGTGACGATGAGGCACAGAGTTTGGGCTTTACCACGGAGCGGTGTCTCTGGGCTTCTTTTTTTGTTGGGGAGAGGGAGGGAAGCATCAAGGAGACGTGGGGCTGAGGTTGTGTCCGGCCACAGCCACCTCTTGCACCCTCCAGCAAAGGAGTGGGAGCTTCCAGCATTTGTCCCCTCACCCAAAATCAGATCTGAGAATGCAGGGAAAGGCAGAAATGATGTCTGTGTCCCGGGAAACATCCATGTCCTGCTGCACGACCTTACACATGCTCTCCCAGAGAGCATATTTTGGGGAGAAACCTCAACTGTTTGACGAGCTGACGCCCTCCTTCCTCTCTGCCTTCCAGCGTTGACAACAGCGAGTACATGAGGAACGGAGACTTCTTGCCCACCCGCCTGCAGGCCCAGCAGGATGCTGTCAACATCGTGTGCCACTCCAAAACCCGCAGCAACCCCGAGAACAACGTGGGGCTCATCACCTTAGCCAAGTACGGCCCGATGACGCTGAGGAGAGGGGCTGGGGGGACCCCTGAGAGAGCACGGGGACAAGGGGAGGGTGGTAAAATGGGGCAGGAACAGCACAGTCTGAAACCATAGCAGTTCTCCTGGGAGGACTGGTAGGAGAAGACTTGGTCCCTCTCTGATGTCCAGCTTGTTGGGCTCGTTCCTGCAGCACCAGGGTATGTTACAGCGGGTTTTCTCTGCTGGGAGCTCTCTGCCAGACCCATCCTCTTGTGGCCTTGTGTCCCAGAGGGTGACAAGCACAGGCTGAGCTGTCACTGCAGCTCCTGGGCAGTCCCAAGAGAGTCATTCCTTCGTTTCCCTGAATTTTTCAGGATTTCAGTGCCTCTGTGAGCTCCCTCTTTGCCAGAGTCAATTAAAATTGGCCACTGGGCTCAAGGTTGCTGGGGCAGGGGACAGACACACACGAGCTTTCATACGGACAGATTACTTCGAGGTTTTTGGGTGTTTTTTTAGGAAACCAGGCTAAAAGTCTTGCTCCCTGTACTCACTGACCCACCCACCAAGGGCTGGCAGACTCCTGGAGCAGACACGGGTTTAGAGCAGGGCGGGAGGGAGAATAATTTCTCATTTCCTTAACATATAAAGGGGTTTGCAAAGAAGTTCTCAGATCGGTCGCCGACGTGAGCGTGTTTGTGTTGCAGCAACTGTGAGGTGCTGACCACGCTCACCCCAGACACAGGCCGGATCCTTTCGAAGCTACACACGGTGCAGCCCAAAGGGAAAATCACCTTTTGCACGGGGATCAGAGTTGCCCACGTAAGTGCTCTCAGTGGTTCCTCACGAGCCAGACTGTGCCCTTCTCTGTGATCCCTTTTGCCTCAGTGTGTCCTCTCCGGTTCCCTGTCCTTTTGGGGGCTCAGAGATGGGAAATCCTGTTCTCTTCCTC